CCGGGACAATTGGCGGCACATCAAAGGCGGCGATTGTTTCCCGTAAATTATAACCCGGAGAGGGCACTTGCTCGACTTCTCGTTATGAGTTCGCGAACAAGTTCAATTAAGTTCACGCCGGCGAAGACGAGGAACGGCTTCCTACACACGCCGAGGCCCTATCCAGCGTCTGTACCCCCGTCAACCCCATAGAACCATCTAAACGGCAGAAACACCCACGGAGAGAGAGAAGATTGGACAAGGAAGAGAGACGGCGGAACATGGTGACAATGAGAAACCGGGAAGGCGACGAGTTGCTTATCAACTCGTAACATTTTCACCACCCTTCGCCGTCCTGTTACGAATATTATCCCGAAGATTCGTCGAGTTTCCAACTTGAAATTTAACACACTCGGCAAATCTACAACTTTCCACTCTGATATTTCGAATAAATGAAATTCCAAAAAGTTTTCCACGGCACGGCAGAAAATTTATAATTAATACAAATATTTGTCAGGGGGATGAAGGGTTTTTTTCGCCAAGTTTCCAGCGTTTGGTCCGGATACGAGGGTAGCAAATGGAAGAAGTAGGTCGGTAGGGTGGAAGAGAGGAAAGAATAAGGAGCGATGGTCCTTTGAAGACGATGATTCCGACGACGACGAGTCTCTATTGTACGGGACAGCCGGGTCAGCCTGACGACCGGGCAACACGTGTCTGTTATGTCTATTATCGACAGATAGTGGGGTAACGAGCGGACGAGATTTATCACCCTCCGTTGCCACCCTAGAGAAACGAAAAGCCGATGGGGTGGTGGAACGAGAGAGGAGGTCGGTTTACAGCTGGTTTGACAGAAAGAAAGCCCGGTTAAGGCCTTACAGTTTGAATCTCGTGCGACGCGTGCTCTCTTTTGCCCGAGAGTACACAGAGGGACGCGTTTACACGGCTTGGGAATTTATTGGTTTACTGAGACACGTGTAACGATCTCATCTGAGCTCACCAGATGAGATATTACGGTTTCAATTACGAAGAAACGTCTCGATTTCGAGGAAGAATTCTCGATCGAGGGAACGTTTAACGGGACTATTTGACCGAGAGGAAGGGGTGAGAGTAAAACTCGTTGGCAGTGAATTTAAATGTCAAAATATATACGCGTTAACGATTCCACACGTACAAAGCTGTATCATAGCTTTATTAACATAATAGCGGAAGGTGCAGCCTGGGCGAAACCCGTCAATCAAAAACCCGATCCTCGAGAAAAGGGCTAGTTAGCCGGTGGCCCTTGCATTCTTGCATAGGATAACGTATGCAAGCTTTCGTTGCAACATTTCTTCCTCCGATTATTTCCTAACATTCCTACACCACTTTCTCGACGTTCAATATTCCTCAGATGTACATTCGAAATGTCTCTACTCTTTAGGAAACGAAAAAATTCCAAGTTTCGCGAGAGATTCGTCCCGTTTCGAGCGTAAGCTTCTTGAGAAAAAATATTCGCACATGCAAGGGGTGCAAAATTTCGCGCTACATAACCGAGTCACCCCCTTGACCGGTATACTCGTAGATGACCAGGGGACTTCTTTGGCAGGGACCGTCGGACAGGGCCGACAATACCGGACATTCCCCGCGTCACTGATTGTCACTTGTTTCCTGCCGATTCTATCCACCGTGAAAACTTTTTCCCTCGCTTCGCCTTCCTTTCTCCGATTTCAAATTCAAATGGCGAAAATCACCGGCCACCGTAACCCTACGCCTTGAGAAAGCGAAGGTCGCCGTGTCGCCTTGGTGCATACAGAAGTATTAAAACGAAGAATACGCGCAGCAATGTAGAGAAGAGTGGTGGAAAAGTGCGCTTGTTGTTGCGAGTTGCGCGAGTTAATAAGAAGAGGGCTGAATCCAGGGGGGAAGAGAAGGTGGAGCGAAGGAAGGGGGAGCATAATGTGGCTCATTGTCGAATCACTTCCGGGGCTTGACCTCCAGCAACGCCCTAAAGACCAGTTCACCTGGACAATGTCCACGAATAATGGGCACCGGTGTTGTGCATTGTACCGGCGGCGGAACGACGGACACGTCGATTCTCTACAATGCGTGTGCTTCGAGATCGAGCGAGAATTTAATAATATCTACAATAAGGCCACCACCTACGTATACGTAGTACCGATTCGTTCGCTATTTAAGTGGTAGGCGTGCAAAGGAAGAGCACTCCATTGTGGCGATATTGTTACTTCAACGAAGATCTTCTCGAGCGAATTCGAGATTAAGTAACGCTTTGAAAATGTTCCAGTTGAATGGCGAACGTCGTAGGAAATGTGTACGAGATCGTATAGCCGAGGGACTCTTGCTCGATCTCCGTTCACTCGTGGCACAATTTGTCTGATTAAGGAACATCAGGGTGGAGCGTGCGGTTCGCGCGAGGACACGGTTCGTCGATAGTCGTCGTTTATACGATTTGTCAGCGACATACGCCGCTAATGGTGCAGCTTTCCGGCCGATTTGTCGAAAAAGTGGCCCGCACGATCCAGCGAGGCGCGCGTGTGCCCGCTTCGATATGAAAAACAACCGATCTTCCACTCCTCGTTCCTCCTCTACCCCCGTGGGCCGCTTGAAAGAAAAAAGCAGCCAGCGGCTCGTAGTCGAGCAGACGTCGAGAGGGGTCGTCAGCGATCACGTGGAAAAATTCACGATGCTTCCAATATGTCTGCTTCCAATATGAGCGAGCGGCCACGCGAAACAGGGGGTGGCTGCTGCTACCCTCGCGTGCCCCGTATGGAAATAGAACGAAAATCTCGAAATATCTCGATCAACGTATGTGTAAACTACCCTTTGATATTCGAAACGCGACGCGGATGACCTGAATAGCTGAATAAAACAAAATTCCAACCTATAAATATCGCGGAGACTTGTCGACAGGATGAAAATTCAAGCTTAATTAAAGACATCGCGCCCCCTCAGAGGCTACAAACGAAACACCAAGGACGCGACAAACGTAATAAACGCGAACAGGATTGATCATTTAAGGCGGGTTCTCGAGATCATTCGGTAAATTGGAGCCGTACCCTCGACGCGAGGGTCTCACGGACGAGTGAGCTAAGCCTAAGATTGGTTTAGTCGCCACGAAGGCACGCCGCGAGTCGACGGTTCTGTGGATCACGCGTCACCGAGCAAAACGCGACCGGAAGACAGGATCCCCCCTTATGGTTTCCTCCAGTTTCCTCTATTGCAACCCTCCTTCGTGCGGATTCGAAAAACGAGCCACGGCCAGCGTGGCAGGTGGGGTACCAGCGATACGTCGAAGGACACCCCTCGATACCACGAGCTTCCCTTCTCCAATCTGCTTCAGGTGTGTACGCGGCGAATAAACGTCCGCGAAATTTCCCCAAAAATTTCGGTTTCACTTCCCTTCCTTTTTTCGGTGTTCCCTTTCGATCGAATATTATTAAGAGAAAATGTATCTTTATTCTGTTTTCTTCGAATTTTCAACGATGCATACATGTCGTAGAGATGGTACAATTGGCGTTTGCAATAAAATTCTGTGAGTCACACTGATAACGGTTTATCACTAATCCAGTTTCCATCTTCCCAGTCTCTCCCCTTTCGTTCGAGCGAACGCTTTTCCCCGAGAATGTGAGAAAAGGATTAGGATTAGGGGATAGCGTGCGAATCGATCGAAAGGGATCCCTTCCTGGATTTCTCCAATTTCAGAAAAGGATCACGCGTATTGCTAACCGTTCGACGGATTCGTTAGAAATCGTATTTCCCGACTATTTTACAAACTTCTCGTCCGGGCAAGGAGAAGGGGAGTATAAAAATACTCGTGAAATTCTTCCCGATCGATCTTTTCCAGCGTAACCCTTGCAAAGGCCCCCGGAGTTCCTCTAAAAACGACATATTCGAAAATTCTGTGAGAACTGACGGTGTCGCGATGTTTTCTCCGCTCGTGCGCTCGCACGTTTACGCGCGTGGGGTTGATAGATCGGCCCGACGAAACGAAGGGGTAGTTTGGCTTTAATCGATCCTGTAATCGCCGGTCCGACAGTTGGCCCCGGCTGCCTTTTTGTCGGCAGTTAGATGGATGGCGCCATTTACATTTTGTCAGTGCGACATGCGCGAGCGTAACATAACGCTTGCCGCTATCATATCTATCACACCCTCTGGACCGGTACACGGCCAGTTTCCTAACGCTCTCGCAAGTACCGTAATCTCGCTTCGGAAAATGGACCAACTCTTTTTTTCGTTTTTTCCACGAACAACGAGACACGTTTGAAAATCTTCGCGAATGCACAATTTTGCGTTAGTGGCAAAATGCATCTTGAACTTTTCGCTTCACGGACTATTTCCTCGATTTTGACTCCACCTACGGATTTCACGGTCGACTTGAGAAATAACAGAGACGTTTCTCCGGGGTCTCGAAAGAATTTCGGGACAGAAATCGAGAGAAAGAGAGAGAGAAGTGTCCAAGGCGAGCCAATTGACAGATCTGTCAACATGGATGACACCTTCGACGAACGAGACCGACCAGGTGTCTGCTTTCCAAACCGAGCAGACGATTCTATGTGTCTATCCGCTCTCCCCTCTCTTTCTCTCTGCTACGTTTTCCTGTCTTCGGCATCTGCCGGATAATACCCAGGATTATAGCAAGAGGACAGTGAGCCTACTGACACTGGTCTCGGTCGAGGTATTCCTCCATTGGATCCCGAGCCATAAACAGATCGATCATCTTTCAAACGGTTCCACGAGGATCCCGTCTGCGAGATAATATCGCATGCGAATTCCTGCGGGAGATTCTTCGCGCGTGTGGTTTTTCGAAACGAACCATAGACGATAAAAAAATATTGAAAATCTCTTCCATTACTTTTAACGAATGTTACTATAATTACTTCGCAGAGGCGCAGAGTAATCGATAATTTCTCAAAGTCCCCCGGAGAAAGGGTGCAGTTGAATCGAGCATCGATATACGCGTTTCGTTTACCTACGCTCCGCTTGGAAATCCCGGCGAAAAGGAAACGATAAGGAGAAATACAACTCACCTCCCACGCGTAACGGAGGTCGAAAGGCTCGCTCGCCCATTTCCCGAGGAAAGGGCCAAATCTCGCGCCCCTTGGAATGTCCTTTCGCGCTCGAACCTGAGGGCCACCCGGTGCCGAACCTCCTACCTCCACTTCCGGCACCGGTGACACCCACTCGCGACTCGATTGATCCTTCTGCTCCTGTTTCGTCGCGTCTTCTGCGAATCAAATCACATTATCGTCGATAAGTATCTTGCATAAAAATTTCTTATTATTTCGTATCGTTTTCAATTTTCACTCAAATCCCTGCTATTACGGCCGGCAATTTTCACGTGTAAAATAAAGCTAATTCGAGAAGTGAATTTGAACGATTAGGTTGCAATTTGGTAGATTAAAATCCTGGTGAAAAAAAGGCTTCTAACCCGTTATTCTAATAGAGACAGTTAACCGCCACCCGTCCTCCCGATAATTTACACCGTAATTCGTAACATTAAACTACCCCTCCAGGGTCGACCCAGTATTCTAATTTACGCAATTAGCTTCCGTAGCTCGCGACAGTTCGATAGGGCAATTTAAAAGAAATCTTCCACTCACGGTACGCCTCGTTCCTGTAGTCCCGCGATCTCGAATACTCCTTTCTCTCCGTTTTCTCACTGTAATCCCACGAAGATTTCTCGTCGTCCCTCGACGAGGGTGGCCTGTACTGTTCCTTCTCGTAGATCTGTTGTTGCGTGTCCATGGCAGGTGAATATCCCCGCTGATAAGCCGGCCTCGACTGCGGATTGTAATCCTGAGGCACGTCGTGGCCGCTGGTCGCGTGAAGGCTGGTGAGATCCCTGTAGACGGAATTGCTGGCGGAGCTGTTGCTTCCACCGCGAATCGAACCGTTCTCCTCCATTTCCTGGCCCTCGTTGGACCCGGTGCCTCCTCCAGTCGGCGCACCAGACGTCGACTCGCCTTCGTCGCTGCTTCCTGAAAGAACGTGCGTAACTTAGAAAAAAGAATCGACGGCAAAAAATAGCAGAGGTTAGGAATGTGTTCAAGTTTGCCTTGTTGCGCGAGAGTTTCCGGGTTGAAGAAATTCTCCGAGGTGCAATAATCGTAACTGCGGAGGACGAGATATTCGTAAGAGAAAATTCCGAGTTATCTCCGGCGGTTAGGGGGAGAGAACGGAAGAGGACGATGGCGGAGAAACGGCGAAATTTGTTTGCCAAGTTCCCTCTCCGTGGACGAAATCCTAGACACACAAGGACAAGTGGCGATCGAAGAGCGCTATCTCCTCGACCCGTCGGTCGTTTTCTCACTCACAGAGCCCCGAGTGTATGACACCCGAGAGCCAAGGATGTTTGACGCGATAAGCGGGGAATTTTATTGTTCCCCCCACTCCTACCAGAGGTGTTTGATGCGCCGTGAAACTGCCTCAAAGTGTTGCGTAAAAAAAAACGAACGTCGTGCATGTGTATAAAACTGCAACATGTAGCTTTCAGAGACGGTTCATATACACATGCGTATAACGTCTGTTATCTTTATTCCCAGCTTTCGATTTCCTGCGGAGTGTACGATACAGTACCACGAAGGACCATCCGTCGAATCTGGATTTATTTGTATAACTCCAGACCGGATACGACGGGCCTTTCTAATACCACACTTATCTTCGAATCGAAAGATATCTCCGGCTGTTGTATCGGCTATCTAGAAACAAACTATGCGCGCCCACCGGTGACACCGAGGGACCTGTGACGATCGAGAGTCCTCTGCAAACACCGTAAGCTCTCTCTCTCTGTGTAATCCGCGGCTAAGCAAATTGCCGACAAGCTCGCAGGTGTATATCCAAGAGGAGCTTGTGTTCTGTTCTTCGACCGTAGCCTCGATACTAGAATTCAACTAACAAACCGTCGCGTCGCGATAGAACCGATATTTTCCGATTGAAAACAGAGTCGAAGGAGAAGGCGGTCGTGTAATAAAAACGTTCAAAGTATCCGTTTTACGAGGGCAGCTTCAATTCCATTCTAATCGAGAAAGTCAACAGTGGATTAAGCGCGAGCTAGTCGTAAAAGAAAACGGTGATCCTGCGTCCTAGCCCGGTCGACACGAAACTCCGAGATAGAGGATAATGCAGAGATATCGAGACGTGCGCACGTTGTACCTAGAGGAATCATGTCACTAGATATGGAAGCCCGAAGGAAGCGTAACATCTTTCCTAGGTGAGAATAATCGTAAAGATAGGATTTCGGTCGGTGGCTGAACGGGGGAATCTAAGCTGATCGATAGAGTAAACAGCTTCCGTGGATAATCGTAAAGAAGAGATCCGTGGACGATTTGGAAGGGTGATTTCAGGGACGATTCAGGAAGCTCTAGTGTCTATACGATGCAACAATAATATTTGGAAAACTCTCGAGATCCGGGGGTCTTTGACTCCTGTGGGACACGAGTGTTCGAGTACTTTCTTCCCTTGACGAAACTACGAGTACTTGTTCAACCATGCGCGATATTATCCTCGATGATAGCCGCTCGAGAGGCTTCCAGCGCGATTAGAGTAGAGTGCTGCTTTGCCGCTGCTTAGAGAATCGAAAATTCTCTTCGTGGGAAGACTTGACGTAGTTTTTTCTTCTTTCTTTCTCTACTCACTTCTTTCTTTATCTTCTCGGGTGAGAGGGTATTAGTGCACTCGTGGTTGGAAATTAAGAGGTTCGTTTCGTTAAGTAACTCTTTCTACAAGTTCACTGTGACGGACGAACGTGAGACTGTACGAATGTAACGTAAAAACCATAAACGAGAATCTAACGAACGTTTAGAGATATTTCACGCCTGGTCCCGGAAAAGATAATTAAGCAAATTGGCAAGCAAGCAAGCCGTGGAATATGTTCACACGCATGTAAATCGCAGTCCTGTAACCGCAACAGGACGTCCTGGTGATACTGGGATCCTGATGGAAAACAAACAACTTCCCATTAGCACGTATCGCTTAACGGGAAAACGATAGTTCCACAGATGAAAAGAGTCCTTGTGACTATCATCGTATCACACCTTTTCTTCGACGAATAAATTTGTCGAGTTCGATCGAAGCGCCGGTGAGAATTGTTGCACAGAAATCCTGCGGTGAGAATCGTGACTTGAAGACGCTGATAAGACTATCAGCTCGTCACGGAATTGCCAACAGATGGCTGAAGCGAATTGGACAGAAGAACGAATCTCTGCAGCCTGGCTTCCGGTCAAGCTGTGGTCGAGCTTCCTTCTGTCGATACTAGAAGATATAGCAAGTTTCTCTCGCTACACCGAGTAAATCCAGAGGCTCACATCCAACGGATAAAAAATAGAATGGAAGATCTAACAATTGGCCATGTTTAATGGCACTAGTGGAAGAAAGTGAACCGATGATCGACAGATTAGATAAAAATCTAACGAGATAAAAATAGCTGCACGATGAATAACGAACATTACGACGATCTATAAACAGTCTAATTTTATCGATACACTTCACGTTCAATCCCCTTATTTTCGTCTTCTTTTTATAGCGTTACAAGTACTCGACGAACGTTCAAATAGAGCAAGGCTATATTCTATCTATCGTTTAACTAATTGGCCACAATCTCTCCAAACTTACCATTCATCGTGCAGTCGACCATGGGCCGAGACAGATCGAGCCCGTTCATTCGATCTTCTTCAATTCAACAACATCGGATCACTGTCCATCGCACTATATATACGCTATCACCATATAAACAAAACAAAGTTCCACGATAACACGTTCATCGGCACAATCCAGCGAGTGAAATAGTTCTCTCCTGCACGATCGTGTCCATGATCGATCGATCGATACCCACGACTGATCCACGAATAAAAGCCCGAGTTAACGAATACACAGAGGTTTGGGGGGGGAGGGCCTAGATGGTCGCAGGGGGTAAAGCAGATCGACGCGTAAAGCGTGTGCAGCTCGAGAAGACACCGAACGAAATAAGAAACGGATGACGAAGAGAAGAGCGCTGCTCCGTGTCAGCTGGCTCTTGGCAGACTAGAGGATCCGAAATCTGTTGAGAAGAGGATGGCACAACGAGGGTTCCCGAGGGAAGCCAGGGACGATCCACGGGGTGTGGCGGAGCCGCTTCCATCGAGACCTCTGGTTGGCCCACGGGCGGAGCAACCCCTATCGCATTCAGATCCCCACCAGTCCGGCACAGCATCCCTCGAGAGAGCGAGCGAGAGAACGAGAACTAGAGAAGAGGCGATGGTGTACCGTGCGCGTTGGTAGAGGAACGAGGCTGCGGTGGTCTGAGTGAGTTTGAGAGACCGCCGCCTCCGGCCGGGGGGAGAGGAAGAATCAGAAAACGTGACTCTGATAACGAAAGAGACACGCTGCATGTGGCTCGACATCGAACTCGCGTTTCCTCTAAGCATTCGCTATTTCGCGTTAGATGTGTCATTTACGCGAATAATTTATATTTCACGTATCGTTTATTGTTTAAATTTTGCGGTACGAGGCGTGATGTATATCTTTCTTCTTCTGGATTTTTTTCTATTTTTTTAAGGAGTATGGAAATGAAGGTTAGGCGTGGAGACGTTGAAGATCGAAGGGTCAGATGTCAGGGTGCGAAGAAATTTTTTCCACCGCGCGAACCCTCGATCGACCAGCGCGTGGAAGTTGGAGAGGACCCCACGCAGAGTCAGGGTCAGTGGAACAGCCATCGAAGTCTTTATTGGACAGGCTCGGTCACCTTTTTCTTCCAAAAGTAGCTGTCACGAAGCTGTCTCGATTTTTTTCTCCTTTACAACCACCGTTTCACAATACGTTGCGGTCTGTAGCATGGACAAATTCCCGCGACTCTCCGTCGAGTCAATCAAAGGAGTAGAATTTCCGAAACGTCACTCTTCGCTTCTTATTTTTTCCCCACTCTTTTATTCGTGACTAACTTTTTCGTTCAACGGAAACTCTCGTAAGTTACGTTGGCAACGTTCGTTACCAAACGCCGCTGGAATCATTTTATGAAAGAAAATTCCGTTACCGCTGATTTTTGAAACCACGTAGAACCGTCTGTCGACGTCTGTTGAAATTGCAACGATTTAAATCCTGCTGGAAGGGGGAGTTGAAAACGGCGGTGTGAATAAACGGCGGAGGAGAAAGATGTCGAAACAAATCTTCATTTCACGCGTGCCGCGAAAATCGTGGAGAAGGAAGGCCGCGGAGGCGATATGAGTGCGTTCCACAGGCAGGAAGACATGTGTCGCGTGCAGTTATATCGTTCTTTATGGCCGGCTAACACCGGTACCCTTCGCTTGTTCGCCAGGAACGTTCGTCCGCGCAATATTTGGCCGGGAGGCTTGATTTACACAGGCATAAAAATGTCTCTTCCCCTCTCTCTCGCGTAGATATCACCGTCTTCGCCCACCTTCCAGCCCTGCTCGTGAATTCGCGCGCTCTTTATATACGCTGGCCCGTGATAAATGCTACCTCGGGACACGATTCTTCATGGGAAAGTGAATTGGAGCGATGTGACATCGATCTTTCCAGACAAACTTTTTCATACCGATACCTTTTTTCTCTCGTGTCGATCAGAATTTAACATTGAAGTTTCTCATCTGATCCCTGGCGCGAAATTTTTTAATTATAATAAATTGGCGCTATTATTATCGTTAATTAGCCAGGCTTCCCTGCGAGCGATAGAATCGTGCGTGCTCGATTTACTCTTTACTCCGTCGTCGGTTCACACACGAAGAGGAGAACTGGGTGATCGATTCGAGGACGTCGACGTCGTCGTCGATGATGGCGTCCTAGTAGGGGGTAATAAATAACGGGAGTATCAAAGGGTTATCAGATCTAAGCAGAGGTTCTAGGTCTAGCGCAACTTCTGACACGTAGAGTGACGATGCCGTAATGTCGGTGGCAAAGTGTGCGCATGTGGGGTGAGTCCTAGTGGCAAAAGGAGAGAGAGACGGGGCGAGGAGAGGGTGGAGGCGCGCGCGAAGCTATTAAACTGACAGAAACACTTGCCACCCCCTCCTCTGACCCAGCCACCCCCTCGACCTCCGACTCTATGCCATCCCTTACTCGGAAGCCCTTCGTCCCTTACTGCAACACCGGAGTTATTAATATTTTTCACACCCCTGAAAATTGTCTCCTGTGTGCCCTGCGTGGCCGACAACTTTCGCCTGTATCGGAGAAGCAATTTTACAAGCGTGTCAACCAAGCCTGTCGCTGTCAAACCGGGCCAACGACAAGATACGCGAGAAGTTTCTCCAACTAAGGCCATTGTTCCCCGTTGATCGTTCCCTGATTACCGATAAATTACGCAATTCCTCGCCTAATACCGGGACCAAACTCTACACGCGGTTAAGATTTAATTATCGATTTTCTCCAGGTGAAAATTGATCGTTTTACCTGGGGGAAAATTTGCGAAACACCGTTCAGTAGGTAGAAATAAATAAGACGAAAAGATCGAAGGATGGAATTGCGAGTGTGTTCTCGTTAGCGGTGTCTACACAATCGAAGGTTCAACGACTTATTATCCAACATGTAAATCAGATAGACGAATTTCGAGTGGCCCCGGGCGAAGAGACTCTCGAGATTCGATCGAGGAAACGAACGAAGACCTTCCTTGTCAGGCCGAATATCGCCGACCGTTAACGGTCGCCCGAAGGAGAAAGAAGTAGCTAACTTGGTCGATGGAAGAGAGAATATAAGAGAAGTGAAGTCAGCGCTCTTCTGCGATCAAACAATCGGCTGCTGCTCGAGTGGTCTTCCAAGAGTCGGACGTGGTCGACTTCTTGATCTACCCCAAAGCGATTTGCGCGTCCCTCGACAAAGACGCGACAAAGAAAGAAGCGAAAGAAAGGTGGAGGAGAAGGGGGGGGGGGGGGGGGATACGCGCAACGCAGCCAAGGTGAAAAGGATCGAGGAGAGACGTGCGTGTTGGTGAATGGCGTCGCCGTACACCCTTAGCAACCAGCTATACGCCGCGCGTATATACGTCCGTGAGAGAGTACATGGCCGAAATAGCGATTGGTGAATCGCTGGAGTCGCCTCAACGGTCGTGCAGGGAGTCTATAATTTGTGTTCGAGTCGAGTTGGTTCTCCGCGTTGTGTACGCACACGCCTTCAACTGCCTTTCGAATCGCGCTGCCCTCTAATGTGCCATTGAGAGCCACGTTATGTGGCATAAGTAGTCGAGCAGAAGAAAGAAACGCGAAGGAGAAAGAGGAAGAGAGAAGGAGAGCAGCAGCAGCAGCAGAGAGAGAAAGGGAGAGAGAGTAGAAGAGAGAGAGAGAGAGAGAGAGTGAACTCTCTATGAAGCTCAGGAGCACCGCCCTCCTGCCTCGAGGAACTTGAGACGCGATTGTTGTGCGCCGCGTGCACACCGTGTACCAGAAAGCATTGTCCCTCGTTAGAGGCCACCGGAAGTCACCGGAAGACGATCAACTAACGGAAGACCCTCTACCTTCGGGCTCCTCCTGCCGACGCCCTCCCTTTCGACAGACTTTGCAGCTTGTCTCTGACCTCTCCCCCCGCGGAGACCCTCCCTTTATTTCGACTTAACGATTTCTTCATGTACGTTGATGTATCAAGGACCTTGGATCATTTTCTACCCCCTTGGATTCGTCAAACTCTCTCCATCTCACGTCTGATCCATGTTTTCTCCTCTTCTTCTTATCACAGGCGAGAGAATACGTGGAGAATTGGAGTATTACTTTGGAACACGATACGAGCAAGTTCGGTCTAATAGAGAATCGGGTCACGGGGTCAAGATCGACGGTACGTAGGAGAAGATCCAGATGCGGCCGATAGAATAGCGGCACGCGAGCGACCGGAACAGGCTGAAGTAGGGAAAATCCGGTATACATTGGGCCCTCTCGTGCGCGTGCAACACCCTCGTTTCTCCTTGCCTCCTTTTCAGCCAGTTCCTCGGCAACTTCTCGCCCAACCACCACCACCGCCACCTCCTCCGCGTTCAACTTAACCGAACGAATAATCCCAGAAAGCACACTTGGATACGCAATGTTAACCCTCCCCCCGAAACGGGGTAACTCGTTTTCGATCATTAATCATTCGCAATT